CTTCCTGGGATGAGCAGGAAGTCAGCATTTCCATCCTACCTTCTGCTACCTGTTGCTGAGTCTACGGCAAATGAGAAGTGGGGACTCCTTGAGCACCTACATTTGGAACAGAGGGTCTACCTTGGGTGAGGTGTGCTAAGAATACTGAGGCCTGTATGAAATAATAAGTATATTATGGGTTGTTGACCTATAACATATAGAAATTAATATATGTGTAATATATTTGCCAGTAATATCACAAAGAAAATGGGTGGCAGTAAAGCTGTATTGGCCTAAGGAAATGACTATACATGGTAAGGTAAGAATTATAATGTATTGTTGGATTTGTAACATTAATAGATGTAATATGTACAACAATAATACCTCAAAAGGATGAAAACAGAATAGAGCTATGTAGCAATAACATTTCTATATATCACTGGAATTAAGTTTTTGTAAATGTTGTAGGGGAAGAACATCACAAAGTCTAGTAAAGCAAAAAGAAAGTTTTATTCAGCATATATTCAAAAAAGGCAGAAGTGGGAAACGGACAACCATGCTGCCAGAGCCATGTCTGCCCGAGTCCAAAGAATATTACAGAATAGTCAAGGATGGGAAAACAGACAAGCATGCTGCCACAGCCATGTCTGCCCGAGTCCAAAGAACAGTTACAGAGCCATCAGTATATATTAACGTTATAAATGGGCAAAACCATTGAAAGCTTAGCCTTTTCAGATTGGCTAGAAACTGTGATCCTACGTTTTGAATTGTCTTTCTTAACAGTCATTGGTACAGGTTTCAGTAACGACAGTCAGGAAGGTCTTCATTGGTCCAACAAATTTCTATTCACTAAATGCTAATAGAAAAAGATAAGAGTGGAAAGTCTTTTGTGTTCTGTTTGATTGGCTTTCTGTGAAAGTTTCCCCAAAAGATACTTTCCAAGATTATCTTAGCTATTGTCTTTATACCTCAGGGCCCAGTTGATGTGTCCTTGTGAGTCCTTGTGGGCCCAGCTCCAGCTGGGTCACATTCTCTATGCTCAAGGACAGGGAAAAATAACTCCAATATTATTTCCTAAATCATAAATCTGAAGCTTATTCTGGTAAGATATATATAGTAAACCTTAGCGCAAACACTAAAAAACTGAAAAATATAGTGAAAAATCATTAAAGAAATTAAAATGATACATTAGAAAATATTTACTTAATGCAAAAGAAAGCAGTAAAGGAGGACTGCTTTGAAATGAATCCTAAACATCAGAAGATTGTCCTCTATTGTTCAGAACTATCAGGCCTTTATTATTTTCTTTTTTTTGCATGATAGCTCCTAGTTTGACAGTGATTAGTTAAATATCTTCTCACTACTGTAGAATGTTTTCTTCATTTTAACCTTTAAAAAAATTAATCTATGACTTATACATTTTGATGTTATTTGGTACAAAAAGATTAATGTTGTCTTCATTACGCTTTGTACCATTTTTCGCTGTAGAGAGGATTCCATGTTAGAGATGAAGATTGGACCAAGAATTGAAGTATTGGAAAACAAAGATTCTCAATGAGAAATTAAAAAACAATTCACTCACAAGCTCTATTGCCTGAGTCCAAAGCCTCTTCAGACTGGTTCCTCAAGTGCTAAGCAGGAAAAATGGAAGCATATGATCTCTGGGAAGTGATTTAGGAAATACTATTGGAGTTATTATTCCCTGTACTTGAGCACAGAGAATATGACCCAGATGGAGCTGGACTCACAAGGGCTTACAAGGACACATCAACTGGGCCCTGAGGTATAAAGACAATAGCTAAAATAATCTTGGAATATATCTTTTAGGGAAACTTTCACATAAAGCCAATCAGAACACAAAAGACTTTCCACTCTTATCTTTTTCTATTAGCATTTAGTGAATAGAACTTTGTTGGACCAAGGAAGACCCTCCTGACTGTTGTTACTGAAACCTGTACCAATGATTGTTAAGAAAGACAATTCAACAGGTAGCCAATCTGTGAAAAGGTAAAGCTTTCAATGGTTTTGCCCATTTGTAATGTGAATATATACTGATGGCTCTGTAACTGGTCCTTGGACTCGGGCAGACATGGCTCTAGCAGCATGCTTGTCCGTTTTCCCACTTTTGTCTGTTCTATTTCCTTGGACTCGGGCAGACATGGCTCTGGCAGCATGCTTGTCCGTTTCTCACTTTTGCTTTCTGAATATATGCCGAATAAAACTTTCTTTTTACTTTACTAAACTTTGTGATGTTTTCCCCCTACAACTGAAGTCTTCTTGGTACTACACCCTTACTGTGGGGTACAAAGAGTTTTGTTCTTTTTACTGTGGTAAAATATATATACCATAAAACTTGCCACTTTAACCATTTTTAAGTTTACAATTCAGTGGCCTTAATGATATTCACAATGTTGTGCAACCATCATCACTATTTAGAATACAGAGTGCAGTCACAGACCTAACAAATGTTGAAGTTAGTATTCAACTCACGGCCTACCAATCAAAGTAAAATCAGGAAGCCTGGGAGATAACTGAGTGTCAAAACAGATTCATCTTGGCAGATTCTGCTAAATCTTAAAAACTTTGTGATTCTGTTTTGAAGTTGGCACGGGGAACAGCAAATACAACTCAAGACTTGCCAAATGTAGGAAACATAATAGGAGAGCCCTGCACAAAGCTGGGACACCAAGTGACTATACCTCCAACATACAACTAAATCAGAAATGAACGTTGTCATCCAGATGGAATGTTGTCATCCAAAGGAACTTGTCTTGAGGTTGCCTTTCTCAGGTATGTTTTGACCTGATAATTACCACAAGCCAGACTTCATGAAAGGTTTTGGCTAACTCAGAAGTTTAACTGAAGTTTAATTTGAAGTGGCCTCAGGTTGGACACATCCTCAATGGCTCAGAGCAAAAAAGCTATCAATTTATAGAAAGCTGAAATTATAGTCCTACCTCATGCCCAATTAAAGAAAATTAACCCCAGATGGACTAAGGGCTTAAATGAAAGATCAAAATTTCAGTATTCTTAGTAGAAAGTATAGTGAATATCTTTAAACCTCAGGCTAGGAGAGGCTTTCTTAAGCAAGACACAGAAAGCATTTACTATAAAGACTAATAAATCGGACTATGTTAAAATTAAGAAGTTTGTTCATCAAGATACCGTAAAGAAAGGAAAGGACATTATCAATTGGAAGAAGATATTCACAATACACACACCTGACAAAGGATTAGTAAAAGAGGGTGATGGAGAACATGTGATTTAGATCATATTGGAGCCATTATTCCTTGTCCTAGTATGTGACCCAGCTGGAGCTGGATTCACAAGGACTCACAAGGACACATCAACTGGGCCCTGAAGTATAAAGACAATAGCTAGGACAATCTTGGAAAACATGTTTTAGGGAATCTTTCACATAAACTAATAAAACACAGCACAAAAGACCTTTCCACTCTTATCTTTTTCTATTAGCATTTAGTGAATAGTTTAAATTTATTGGACCAATGAAGATCCTCATTGTCATTACTGAAACCTGTACCAATGATTATTAAGAAAGATGATTCGAAGTGTAGAATCACGCTGATCTAGCAGTTTTTAGCCAATCGGTGAAAAGGTGAAGCTTTTACCCATTTGTGATGTTAATATATACTGATGATTCTGTAATGTTCCTCGGATTCGAGCAGACATATCTTTTTAGCGTGCTTGTCTGCTTCCCACTTTCTCCCTTTTGAATGTATGCCAAATAAAACTTTCTTTTTGCTTTACTCAACTTTGATGTTTCTACCCTACAACACATGTGAAAGGGAGATTTTCACATATTACTTTATATTCTCAAGATGTTTTAACAATGTGCATGTATTACTATGCAGACTCAGAAAATTAAATTGAACAAATAAAAATATCTACTAAAGTTAGGTGCAATATCTCCTCTCATAGATACCATCTATTGTTGAAGCCTAGATGATGTGGATGAGGGAATTTAATATAGTAATACTATTCTCCCTTATGTAAATTACCGAAAATTTCCATTGAAAAGATTTTAAAAACAAATTATACCTAATTTTAAGAAAAAAAAAGTTTGTACAGCAGATGCTTTCTATTCTAAAGCAATTAACCAAGCAATATTTATGGAACTACACTAGCAAAAGTATAAGAACATGTATGATACACACCAGTTTCATGATAATTTCCTCTGGGGAGGGAAAAGATGCTTTAGTGATACATATTTTAAAGACGACAGAAGTGAGGCAGATGTGGGAAAATGTTAATATCTGTTAAATGCGGGTAAAGGGAGAGGTACATGGGTGTTATATTACTTTTTGGATGTGTGAAATCTTCCATGATTTGAAGTTATAATTAAAATTAAGAACACAGGGAAGAAATAGGCATCAACAGCAGTTGTGTTTTAGGATGATGGAAGTAAACGGGCTTTGTCTATAATTCCTACGTTTTCTATAATGATCAGCTCGGACATTTTACTTATAAAACACGACACATTTAGTTTTGTTAGAATGATTTCGAGATGGTAACCTAAGCAGAAAGAGTCAGAAGATAACATAGCGCTGAGGACAGAAAATACAGTATACAGATTCGAAGAGCCTGCCCAAGGCCTGATCTACCTACCTACGTCTGCAGGGTAAGTGGAAACATTTACCCACGACACTGAAGGTGATTCCCCGTCAACAAGCTCACTAATTCCAACTCACACTGTTTATCAGTTATGTGATGGGGCAACGGCCTTTGAGGCTAAGTGATACCGTACAAGGCAGAAAATTACCGACGGTGACGCCAGGTGGGCTCAAATAACTACTTATTCAGACGGAAGAGGAGCCCCACTGACTGACTCCCAGCAGGAAGCGCCCGGGGGCCCGCAAAGCCGCGACTCCAGGAGGCGATTGGGCCTCCTCACCGCTAGGAGGGGCGCGAGAGGCGCCGGAGGGGCGGGGCTGGTGGGAAACCGTAAAGGGGCGGTCGGCTTTGCGCCTCTGACTAGAATCCTTGCGAGAGCTGCTCCCAGCATGGTAGACAACGCTGGTGGTGCTGAGGCCCGGGGGGAGCCAGACTCCCTTATGTTACCCCATCGAGGACCAATGATTCGCTTGCGACCTTGGTGGTTTCCGGTGGAGGAGCTGAAGGAACCGCTAGTGTTTTACCTGGAGGCATGGCTAGTGGACCTCATGTTTGGTAAGCGACCCCGGGTATGCTTGTGGGCCAGTCATTTCTAGTCCAAGATGGTCATTCCAGCTACTCTCTGTTGCCTCTTTCCTAGATTGACAGGCCGCTGTTTGACGCCATGACACCCAACTTCCAGCTCTTCCTTCCCTGGCCAACATTCCCTTCAAAATTAGCTCCTAAGCTGCGACCACTTCGACCCTCATAGTCTTTTCTTCTTGCCTGTTTAGGCCGAGACCGAGCCGTAATTCCAAAAATTGAGTGGATGAGCCAGGTTCTGCTGACTGTGGACATAATGGACTCCGGGGACCTAGCCAAAATCACAGTCTTTGGACGACCCAGGGTACAGAATCGAGTGAAGAGCGTGGTCCTGGCCGTAGCCTCGTGGCATCGGAAACGTCGTCACCGAAGTGAGGGTCTTAGAGAACCTACATGTAGGGGGAACCACGGAGGGCCCCTCTTGCCTTGCTTAGCCCTTTTCCAACCTCTCTTCCCTCTCAAAATAACTTTTTTGGGACAGTTTCCAATCCCAGAAAGCTGCACCCAACCCCTGGGGATCCCTTTGGGTGGGAGGGAGCCCAGGTTAGGACCTTGGAAAAGTGGAGATCTGATTCATTCTGGCCATCATTGCCCAAGCCAGCCTCAGCTGGACTATTCCTAGATGCCAGTTTGAGAGCCTCCATCCTGAGAAAGGATGTTGCCAGCACCTCCTTCTACCCCCGTTTATCAATGCTTACTCATAAAACAGCAAGCGTTTTCCCTTACTGGGTGGTGTTGGTATTCAATTGCTTTTCCTCCAGGTGAGAAGATGGAACAACTTGAGGAGTTCTTGAAGGCGGGTGCATCAGGTCCCCAGGCTCCCCAGCATCCTTTTGCTTAAGGAAGTATAAGTATCCTCAGTAATATGATGAGCACAGTCCTGCTTTTGCTAATAAAGTTGAAGGGGAAAAAGTATCCTTAAATCTCTGCATTCCATTCTCCTATGTCTTGATGAATAGTGGTTTGATTCTTTTGGTGCAAACATGAGTTTGCACTTCTAATAACGAAATGGATTTCCTGGCTTTTTTGGTCCAATAGCAATAAAATTTCTGTTAATTTAGTTAGGCAAATTTATAAAAGGTAACTGTTCATTCTTGGCAGGGGATAGAAGGCTGATATTGTTTTCCGTTTTGTTTGTTTTTAGTTTTACCATCTTGAAACTGCTAACCCTGGTCAGGATCAGGCCCTCAAATGCAGGGGTGGGGGGGACAGAGATGTAGGGGCAGATGATTCACCTTGAGAGCTTGTTAAAATGTAATTCCCTAGACCCCTTCTCCAGAGATTCTGATTCATTATTGGATGAGGCCCCATGGATTTACATTTCCAACAAGTTCACAGGTGATGCCAGTGTTGCTGAGACTCACCTTGAGAAGAACCACTGCTTTACATCACCTTACTCTAGTTGTGAGAGCACATATTAAATGAACATACTGAGTCATCGGAAATTTAAAAGCCAATCTTAGGAACTAAAGGGACTTAATAACCTTTTAAGAAAGGAACCAGAAGACCTTAAAGGGGCAATTCCTACCTAGAATGGATCTTCTATTGGAAGCAAATTATCATTTTATAGATGCTGATGAAGCTGGAATTAGACTGGAGACACCAGCACAGTGGAAGTTTTTTAGGAAAGCATTTGAGATCCCCTCCTCAGAAACAGAAAAATCTTGCCAGATCACTCAGCTGTTATTCTATTACAAGGCATTTTAGTTTAAACATGAAAGCCCCTAAGCCAAGCCCATTTGGACTCATAGTGACCCTATAGGACAGAGTGAAACTGGCTCATAAGATTTCCAAGGAGCGGCTGGTGGATTTGAACTGCTGACTTTTTGGTTAGCACCCTGAGCTCTTAACCACTGCACTACCTAGGGCACATGAAAACATGGCAATTATTAGCAATAAATTGGGCTAAAACACGAACCATTTAGTATGTCTACTGTGAAGCTGGGCAAACAGTGCAGGATAAAGAATTTGGTCTTTGTCCTTGATTTCTGAGAGAGAACCTCTAAAACTTCAGGATTTCCTCAGTGATTGAAGTGGGCTCCAGAGCACATCTACCTAACAGGTTAAACTAATGAGGTGATTCTTGGGTGGGGGCTGGCCAGGCCAGAAATTCCCACTTCGTGATCTCAGCTAGCCTTGAGGGGAACATGGTTCAATCAATCATGCCTGCTTCATGAAGGACCCAACAAAGGCTCTGGACATGGAAGTTCCATAGTTGGTGACACTGATGCGTGTGGGAGGGTACCAAAAACAAACCCATTGCTGTTGAGTCAGTGCCAACTCATAGCAGCCCCAGAGTTGATTCTAACTCATGGCAACCCCATGTGTTAAACACAATAGAACTGCTCCAGAGGGTTTTCTTGGCTTGAATCTTTACAGAAGCAGATTGCCAGTCCTTTCTTCCACAGTGCTGCTGGGTAGATTCAAATTGCTAACCTTTAGGTTCATGGAGTGCAAATCATTTAAGCTACCCAGGCCTCCCTGTTGTAGGGTAGCATGTCCCTTCTTGGGACGTGGAAGCTTCGTATTAGGAACTCTTGCCTTATGCATTTCTTCATTTTTATCCTTTTTGCTATAAAACTGTAATCATAAATATAGCACTTTCCTGAATTCTGTGAGTCATTCTAGTGAATTATTGGTCCCAAGGAAGTAGTGGGACCCCCCCCCCCAGCTTCTGGCTGGCATCCTGAAGACATAATGTGAAAACCCCAAATTTATAGGCAGCAGGTTGCGGGGACTCCAAGCTTTCGTCTGAGGATAAAAATGTGGTATATGCATACAATGGAATATCACACAGCCATAAAGAATGTCACATGAACTTTGAAAATATTTTGCTGAGCAAAATAAGTCAATTGCAAAAGGACAAATACTGTATGATCTCACATAAAATATATATAAACCAAAGATAAGTGATTGCCAGGGGTGTGGGAAGGAAAATTGGGGAGTTTTTGCTTAGGGGACATTGAGTTTATATTAATGGTGGTGGAATATTTTGGAAAAGGAAAGTGATAATGGTGGTACAAAATGAAAAATGTAGTCAATGTCACTGAATAATACATGTAGAGTTGAACTGGGGAATGTTTTGATGTGTATATTTTCACCACACAAAAAAAAAACAACTGCAATACCACTATGTACCGACCGGAGTCACTAAAATGAAAATTCTAACTCTTGGCAAAGATGTAGAACAATCGGAAGTTGAATAGACTGCTGGAAGTTATGCACATCCTATAACTAAGCATTCCACTCAGCATTCCACTCGTAGGTTTAAACTCAGTATACATATATGTATTCATTAGAAATACAAATTTTCATAGTAGTACTGTTCATTATAAGGCCTAAACAGGAAACAACCAAAATGTACATCAACAGAATAAAAAACTAACTTATACGATGAAACTATAACTACACACAAGAACGTGGATAAGTCTCAAAGTTAAGTGAAAATACTGAATGACTCTGTATTAAAGTGAAGAGGAGTTAGCCTGGGGAGTAGAAGTAACTAGGGGTGGAGGGATACAAAAGAGGGCTTCTGTAGTGCTGGTAGTGTTCTTTTTCTTCTCTGGGTGCTGGTGAAATATATGTGTTCCTTTTTTACTGCTTGATGAATCTTTTCTCATTTAGGATGTACATGTTTTTTAAGAAGGTTGTACATCAGTGAATTGTTTACTAAAAAAAAGGAATGGAAAGCTTTCTGAAGGTAATGGATGGGTAATGAGATTTTGAGTAGTTCTGATTTTAATACTTTCTATATTGCCTAATTAAAAACAAATACTGAGCATGTAATGTTTATAATCAGAATGTTAAATGCAATTTTTATTTTGCGGGTAGTAATGGTATTTTGTTGGAGCCCTGGTGGTGCAGTGGTTAAGAGCTCCGCTGCTAATCAAAACATCAGCAGGTTGAATCCACCAGACTCTCCTTGGAAACCCTATGGAGCAGTACTGCTCTGTCCTGTAGGGTCGCTAAGAGTCGGAATCGACTCGACGGTAATGGGGAGTGTTATATAACTATTCCATCAATCATAGGAATTCTGGTGGCACAGTGGTTAAGCGCTCGGCTGCTAACTCAAAGGTCGGCAGTTGGAACCCACAAGCTGCTCCGCAGGATGAAGATGCAGCAGTCTGCATGCTTAAAGGTTACAGCCTTGCAAACCCTACTTGGCAGTTCTACCCTGTCCTATAGGGTCGCTTTGAGTCGGAATCGACTTATCGGCAGTGAGTTTATTGCAGCAATCGGTGGGAAAATATAGTGAAAGTGACAAACGCAATTGTTTTTTTTTATAATACCAAGATTAACGCATGCTGTCTTTTAACGCTAGGACCCATCTGTTAACAATTTACATCCTTCTAAATTTACGCGCAGGCACATGGGAACAGGCGAACAGGCGTCCCAGCTGCCTGCCAGCCCAGACCAGCGCTCAGACCGAGAGCCGGAGGGTACCTCTGCCGCCATAACGGAGGGAAGTTATACTGTCTCGCTCACGTCAGATATCACGGAAGGGCGGGTGACCTGGGCATGATTTGAGGGCGTTAGCATTGTAGCCAGGCTCCTTCTCCTACAGTTCTCCCTCCCACTGTCAGTTGCCCCTATCTGCGGCGCCGCAGGACGCCCCCGCGGCCCTTCCAAGTTTAGGTGGGCCGCAGCTGCGAGGCCCGGGTTGAAACCAGGTTTTCGCCATCTCAAGGCACAGTGATTGCAACCATGCGGGGCTAGGAGAGTTTCCCAGCGAGGACCGACTCTGGGCACGAGAAGCCCTCCCTCGGCAAAGGCAGCGGCGCCTAGTTAAGAAGCACCATTAGGGGAAGCACCTGACCGCGGGACTAGTTTGGGGAAAGGGCGAGAGGAAGAGACTGCAGCCTTGACCCGCTAGAAATCCAAGAGGTCCCACTAGCCTCTAGGTAGAGAGCGGCGTAGGAAGAACTGGGCTGTTGGAGGAACGTGTCTCTCCCTTCCCTCCTGTCTTCCAATTAACAGACAGTAGGGAAATTTGACTCTTTATTAGAACTTTTTAAATTGTGTTTACAAACATTAACACAGGAAAAACAAAAACAAAACAACCCACCCCATCCTTAATCCAGGGGGTGGCAGGACCTAGAAGAATAGGCTTCCACTTTAACCCCTGCATGGCCTTGGGGTAGGAACTACCTTCAAAGCTTGGTAACCCAGGCCGGGTGGCTGCCGGCCTCCGGGGCAGCGTCCGCAGCCTCCTGGCTGCCGGCCTCCGGGGCAGCGTCCGCAGCCTCCTGGCTGCCGGCCTCCGGGGCAGCGTCCGCAGCCTCCTGGCTGCCGGCCTCCGGGGCCTGGCTCTTCTCTGAACCTAGAAGGAGAGCAGTGAGAGGAAGCTGTAAGTACGTCCCCAGCCTCCCTTTCTCAAAAGGACAGTTATCGGTACGGGCTGCAGGGGTGGAGGCAGAAAGCTGTACTCAGAAACCGGGCCGGTTTGGCATTCCAGATCCCTTGCAAAGAGGAAACCCTCTCCCGGGCCGAGTGGGAGGGGGAGACCGCTGCCGGGATCATCAGGAAGCGTCAGGACCTCTCCCAAGGAACCCAGAGCCTGCCTGGGAGACTCCTCCCTGCAACACCTGGTCCCTTACTTTGCGCTCGGCGTTTTCGGTGGTAGTCGGCCAAGTTCATGATCATCTTGGCTATGTCCTTCTGGTAGTAAGGCCGCCCAAATATCAAGATCTCCGCCTCGCCTTTGGGGTCCAACCGACGCACACGGAGAATGGTCTGTGACACACACTCGACGTGCGGGATGTGCTCTCCGCCCGGACCTGCGCTGGGAGCCGGGAGGCTGTGAGGGGCGGGGATCTGAGAGGGTAGGGGCTAGGGAGGAAGCTTCCGGGGCACTGGCTTGGGGCCAGGGCCACTGGAGAAGGTTCCTCTGGGTCATGGCCGGAATGGGGAGGTGGGGTAGGAGGCCCTCTCGGCCGCCCTCGAGGTACCACTCACCAAAGATCGCTTCCACTAGCCACGCCTCGAGGTGAACTCTATACGGATTCATCAGGTGCTCAGCGTTGAACCAGAAGGGCCGTTTGTCGAGATAACTGAGCTCCTCAAATTGCTGATCTGGCTGCCCGAGCTGCACGAGCGTCGGAAACCGCTTGGAAGTGGCCATGCTGCCACGGGCCTCGAGGGGAACGGCGGCAGGCTGCAAAGTCTCCGGCCGCACTCAGGATCCGCTGCAGAAGCTGAGCCCGCACGGGGCCCTCATTTCAAGAGCTTTTGGCAAGCTCCTCCCCACCGCGCCCTTATCATTGGATACCAGGCCTCGCCTCCCAATCCGGACCCCGGGGCTTCTTCTCTAAACCGCGCAAGTGCGCTGGATCCAGGTGCCTTTCTCTTGAGGCTGCGCTAGGCTGGAATCTTCTCGGCGCCGCCCCCGTCTCTTTGGAGACCCAGCTGCTTCACAGTTCAAATCCACCAGCTGTTTCTTGGAAACCATATGGGTTATGAAATAGTATGTATACTATTATTTTTAGGTGCCGCCAAGTTGATTCCGACTCATAGCGACCCTATGTACAACAGAATGAAACACTGCCAAGTCCTGCGCCATTCTCAAAATGGTTACTGTGTTTGAGCCCATTGTTGGAGCCACTGTGTCAATCCATCTCGTTAAGGGTCAACCTCTTTTACGCTGACCCTCTACTTTACCAAGCATGATGTCCTTCTCCAAGGACTGGTCCCTCCTGATAGCATGTCCAAAGTGAGAGGAAGTCTCACTATCCTCACTTCTAAGGAGCATTCTGGCTGTACTTCCTCCAAGACAGATTTGTTCATTCTTCTGGCAGTCCATGGTATATTCAGTATTCTTCTTCAACACCATAATTCAAATGCATCTGTTCTTCTTCAGTCTTCCCTATTCATTGTCCACCTTCCACATGCATGTGAGGTGATTGAAAACACCATGGCTTGGGTCAGGTGTACCTTAATCCTTAAAGTGGCTTCTTTGCTTTTTAACATTTTAAAGAGGTCTTCTGCAGCACATTTATCCAGTGCAACACGTTGTTTGATTTCTTGACTGCTGCTTCCATGGGGAGGAGCCCTAGTGGCACAGTGGTTTAAGCACTTGGCTGCTAACCAAAAGGTCTGCTGTTGAACCCATCAGCTGCTCCTGGGCAGAAAGATGTGGCAGTTTGCTTCCCTATAGATTTACAGCCTTGGAAACTCTATAGGACAGTTCTACTCTGTCCTACAGGGTCAGTATCAGTCAGAATCAAGTTGATGGCCATGGGTGTTGATTGTGAATCTAAGTAAAATGAAATCCTTGACAATTTCAGTATTTTCTTGGTTTATCATGATGTTGCTTATTGGTCCAGTTGTGAGGATTTTTGTTTTCTTTATGTTGAGGTATAATTTACACTGAAAGTTGCAGTCTCTGATCTTCATCAGTAAGTGCTTTAAGTCCTCTTCACTTTCAGCAAACAAGGTTGTGTCATCTGCATGTCACAGGTTGTTAATGAGTCTTCCTCCAATCCTGATGCCCCATTCTTCTTCATACAGTCCAGTTGCTTGAATTATTTGCTCAGCATACAGATTGAATAAGTATGGTGAAAAGATATAACCCTGATGCACACCTTTTCTGATTTAAAACCATGCAGTATCCACTTGTTCTGTTCAAATGACTGCCCCTTGGTCTATGTACAGGCTCCTCAGGAACACAATTAAGTATTCTGGAATTCCCATTCTTCACAGTGTTATCCATAACTTGTTATGATCCACACAGTTGAATGCCTTTGCATAGTCAATAAAACTCAGGTAAACATCTTCTGCCAAAAGAACGAACAACTCTGTCTTGGAAGAAGTACAGCCAGAATGCTCTTTAGAAGCAAGGATGGCAAGAATTCGTCTCACCGACTTTGGACATGTTATCAGGAGGGGCCAGTTCCTGGAAAAGGACATCATGCTTGGTAAAGTAGAAGTGAAGGTCAGACGTCCCTCCTCTCTCCAAACTTTTTACCAATTCTAACACCAGCTGTCCCTCCTACGACACTCTCTACTTCTCTGTTAGGTTCCATAATTCATTGCAGTGGCTACACAGGACTCACAGACAATACATGATTATGGATTTTATTAGGGAAATAACAGGTTACAATTTAGGATCAGGGACTACTCAGGGTACAGTTCTTTGATCAGAACAGCCTCTTCTCAGCCGTGCCTGCAGGCGGGTTTCTCCCTGGCCCTCAGCCCAGCCTCTGCCCTGCTCAGGCAAGTGTTACAAAGCTTTTTAGCTCCGCCAGTAAGTGCCCGGAGGCACCTCACTCTGCCAGCAAGCCTCCTGCCCAAAGGCACTCAGCTCTCTCGCTCTGTGGGCCAGGAAGCCCTCCATGTTGTCTCTTGCTGGTCTCCTGCCCATCTTCTGTTTCTGCTGCCTCTGGTGTTACAGCTTCTCTCTCTGTGTGTCTAGGAGGCTCTCAGCGCAGGCATTCAGGTCCAAAGGACACTCCACTCCTAACCCTTCTTTCTTGGTAGCATTGACATCCCCCCTTTTCTCCTCCAGGATGGCTCATTTTAAGCCTAGTGGGGATGGCAAAACTGACCAATCCCATTATTAGGGTTCTATATACTTTATTTGCATAGTCCCACCCCCACAAGGGTGTCAGGCACCTTATTTGTATCATTAGCAAGCTGTCCAATCCCACTGGTGGACCACAAGCACTGTATTTGAATAGTCTCATGCGATCTGTTGGTGGGAGTTACAAGACCATGGCTAGAAAGGCCATATAAAAGCAATGCATCACACTGTGTAGGTACTTGGTACAGAGTTGTTGAATAAAGTATATGTCACAACTAGCAACTTCCTCTTAATTTGATGTGTCCCATCCCTCATTAACAGGACTTTTGTGAATGGAGAGGACATCTATTTATACTTGGTTAAGTGCCAAATTTATTAAATCATATAAATCTTAATATTCATTTAAAATTTAAGTCATTGCTTCCACAACTATTAAAATAAAACTTACGAAGTTAGCAAAGTGTTACCAAGCCTATATATGCTTGCAGTATGGTGGATCAATTTTGTGTGGCCTTTCTAGCCATGGTCTTATAACTCCCACCCAGGAGATTGGGCAGGACTGCGCAGATAGGGTAAGTGTAGCCCACCAAAGGGATTGGTCATTTTTGCCAACCTGCTGGGCTTGAAATGAGCCACCCCAGAGGTGGGAAAGAGAGAACCCCAATAACCACCAAGGAAGAACAGCCAGGAGCCAGCACCTTTGGACCTGGGATCCCTGTGCTGAGAAGCTCCTGGAAGCAGGAGACCGAGAGAGAGAGGAAGCTGTAACTCTGAAGACAGCAAGTCCAGTTGGCAGAGACCTGGCAGCAGAAGATGGCGTGGTGGGCTTCCCACGAAGAGAGAAAGCTGAGTGCCTTTGGGCACAGGCCTAGGGCAAGGGAGAGACGTGCCTTCAAGCACTGCTGGGAAGAGGTTGTCCTGATGGATGAACTGTATCCTTGAGTGTTCCTGAGCCTGAATTGTAACCCGTTACTTCCCTAATAAACCCCATAATCGTGAGTATGGTCTGTGTGTTCTGTGTGGCCACTGCAATGAGTTATCAAACCCAGCAGAGAAGTAGAGAGTGCTGTGGAGGGACGGTTGGTGTCAGAATTGGTAAAGATGGTGGAGAGAGGACGCATGTCTGACCTTCCACCTCATAGGAATCAGCCTTGGGCTGTTGATCTTGATTCTCCTTGATTCTCTTTCCCCCTTGTGAAGTTAGAGGTCAGACACCGCCCCCATGCCATTTTTACAATGCCGTAACATTAATGAATGTATTTAATCAAATTTTCATGGACTTTTCATTAAAATAACAGATATAATGTATTATCACCATTATACCTAGATGTATTATAAAAACTCATGTTACTATGAATTTAAATTTCTTATTTATTTATATTGTAATTAACTATTATTATACACTCTTGGTGCATGTAACTCTTTGAGATATTCATCTTCCTAGAGTTATGATAATCTCATTAGACCTAAAAGGGAAAAAAAAAAAAAAAGACTTCATTTTAGACTAGCCAGGTTGTGAACATCTAACATAGGCCTTTAATTTTTTTTTTTTGGAATGGTAATATACCTGGTACAAAAGACTGCACAGTGAAGTATCTCTCCCATCCTTTTAGTTAACCACTGCATGTTTTCAATATAGTCTATGAAAATACAATATATTTATATATGATATATGTTTAGATACATGTATATATATACATATGTATTTTTAACACAAAAGCATATAGTTTACACTGTTTCTACTCTTTTTTCCTCACTTAATGTATCTTGGAGATTGTTCCATATCAGTACTTACTCCATCTGAGGTACTATAAATTAACTAGTTTTCTTTCTCCTACTAAAATATAAATTTCATGAAGACAAAGATGTTTTTTTCACTCCTTTTTGTTTGATGTCATACATTGTAAATATATATATATAATACATATTCTGTTCATGAATATTTATCATGTATTCAATCTTTGCTTTTAACAGTAATGCTACTGCAATCAATATCGTTGTATATGTCATTTCTTACATGTGAGAATATATGTACAGGACAAAATTCAGACGTAAAATTACTGGGTCAAAGAGTTTTTGTACATTTTCAATTGATAAGGTATTGCCAAATGGTGCCCCATTGAGTTTAAACCATTATATGCATCTACCAACATTTTTGTGGACTTTACACCATGAAAAAAAATGAAATTCATTTTTTGACGAAACCAATGCGTATAATTTAGATGCTCCTTCATTAAAAACAAAACGGAAAAACCATTTATCATTAATGGAAAATGCAGGTGGGAGGGAAAGAAAGCAGAGCATGTGAAATGGTGAGGCTTTTTAGACTATCATCTAGTTCTACAGTAGAAATGACATTTAACGTTTGATTATAAAGATTTTCTCTAAATAATTTGTTGAAATAACTCAAGTCTTTTAAGTTTTAACCTTCCAAATGTTGGCTCAAACGAACACTGAAATTCTGCCCATCTTTATTCTAACAAAAATCTTCTTTTGCAAGAGTACATTGAGGTATGTTGGAGAAGTGGCGATTTTAATAAACAGGAGCCGTGCAACGACAGAAGTAGACAGCCGGCAAGCATCAGTAAGGCGGCACCAAATGG